TTTGTTGTATTTGTATGCTTAATTGTTTTTGCCATTGCCAAAATTAGTCTTACTAGGGTCTATTCTAAATATTTTAGGCCCGTTTTATTACGGAGGACTATTTAAATTTAGTCATGCCTAACTAGTCGACGCAAGTGACTCAGTTTCGTGCTCCAAAAATATGAACATTTGATTGGTTGAAATTGTTTATTTCGGTCCGCCCATTTATCCAAATACGGAATATACGATTACGTCATTCTTTTGGCATCCTGGTGCCTGATTTCAGTGTTTTACAAGTCGCTTATTCCGTCTATCTCTAAATTAACTTTCTCGTTGGTGGCGCTGTCCAGAATGAGAAAAATAATAACAAATAAGAGACTTGTGGCAAGTCTATTGTTGAGGGTGTGTCAACAACCTGCTGAGGGTATTGATAACTTTATGAAAGCTATACCTGAATATTTCTGTCTATGATCCAATTCATGTCAAAATCATCATCATCCTCACCAAATGGATTCATAAGGTTTTCTGCAACCTGCAATAATAGAAAACAATTGAAATTGTGGTGACGTTAAAGAGAATATTGGTGGTAGTGGTGGTGGTGACGATGGCGATGATGGAAATTAATTAAATCTTTATTCATTTCATCATAAAAAATAAATAAATAAAATGGAGATGGTAGAGATGATAATTAAAGTGGTGTTGATTGTGGTGGTGGTAGTGATGTTGAAGATGTTTATGAGGTGGGTCGTTATATTTTAGTCAATATTTACCTTTAACCATCCTACATAGAATATAAATTCAAGAAGGGTGAACCCCGGAAATTTTAGATCAATTTCATGACCAGGGTAGCCACTTTCTGGATCCAAGTACTGTCTACCAAATAAGCATGCGGCAAAGTAGCTATAGGTTGCTATAGTAACCACTTGTGTATACACTAGAGGAACCATTATCCAATCAAACCCGTACAACTCGTCGCACTTGTCGTGGAATGCATTTACTTCCTGTATTGAAGTGAATAAAATATACAGTATTTATAAGTATGTAGCAGTTACCGTATTCGTTATGACATAAATACTATAAATAGGAAAACGGACATTTTACAATAATCCATTCAATAATGGTTCGAATGTGAAACCATGCGCCATCGCATGCTATGTCAAAATTGCGACGTCACGTTTGAAACGATGAAAGGATTCAGTCATCACTGGCACTTGGATTCGCCACAACCTCTTCCTGCATTTTTATATTTCACAATGGATTTTTACCTCCGAGCTCTAGCAACACTCGGCTGATTTAATAATAGATATTTCTTGTATGGGCGGCCGTTAAGGCTAATTGCTGATAGATTAATAGAACTTTTTTGTATGGGCATCCGTTAGGGCCACTCTCTACTGCCTCTATTATACTGCCCTCACCGGAGCTTTCGAGATTACGAGAACTTGTTTTTTGCTTACGTCTACTATTGTTTTCATTGCTGGGTCGCTTATAATACGGCCTTCTTTCCTAGCTTTCCTCGCTAAAGTAATAAACCAAACACACGGAAGCCAGTAGCGAGGGTGGTTTGATTGCAGTTTCTTAAACACAACTTTCTCTTCTTCAGTCATAAGACCTGTAAATAAAATTAATATTCTTCACAATCAACACTATTTATTTTATTTCTGAAATTTCTAATACACTCGTGCTCACGTTCTCAAAGCCTTAATTGTAATCAATGAACCAAAACGGAAATAAAAATAATTCAAATATAAGCCTATTACTGAAGGAACTGTAGCAAAGTGAGTAGTCTGGTATGCACTCACTCTAAGACAAGTGTTCGATGGTTGATTGTGTGGTAATATGTTAATGGACTATTAAATCTACTAACGAATTATGTAGTGAAAGATGAACCAATAAAGAGTGTAATGGATTTTGTGCGAGCCCTGGGGTGCACAGACGAATAGAAAGTAGGAAAATATCGGGAATTATGTTAATGGAACGAAAAATGACGAGCAGGGGCGGATCCAGAATTTTGTAAACGGGGGCACAACATATTCAGAATAGATAAGTGAGAGCGCTAATTTCAATATATGCCTTTAAAATTTATTGGTCCGCGGTCCTCTGCTCTTACCCCGGCTTCACCCAGCTCCTGGACCATTTCAGATTTTCCCGCCCCTTGGGATGAGAGTGTGTACGAATAAGCCCTACTAGAAATGTCAATAATACAAGCAGTGTTAATAGTGAAGAAGGATGAGGCATGTCAGGAATCAACTTTTCAAGTGACATTATCAGGCCTGTTAAGTGATAATTCGAGTATTTTAAATAGGTATATGAACCAAAAACACATAATAAACTTCGAGAATGTGTACTGGTAGCCCATCAATATTCATAGACTGCCAACGCATTCAAACCTTTTGAAAGCTTGTTTGATTGCTGATTCTAACGGTCTGTCCACACAGATGTGGTAAATGTATGAATTTCCTATAATAGGGAACTTTCTATTTGTGCGACGCTATAACGGAATCACTCATGCGTGACCGTCCTACCTGGCGTCCTACGTTCTGTGCATACGTACATTTGGCCAAATTGACGAGGTGACCTTAACGTTCTCGCATGCAAAGATGACTTTTAATGACGTCATTACGTTCTACGTCCTACCGTCGTCGAGTAATCGAAAGCTCCATAATATTGGCATGGTGATGTCATATGTATTTGTCACGTGAAACAGACTCTGTTTGGACAGAGTTTTAGTAGGTCGATGCTCCTTTTAAGCATGCCCACTGGTACGTTTGCCTTATAACTGAACCTAATTTCATGCATTTATTCTTACACTGAATTCCCCCCACACATTTGTTGTCTTTCTACTGCAATAGTTTCTCCTATCACTCCATTAGCTACCGGTAGCTTTCCTCTCCATTAGCTCTTCACCACCTCAATTTAATTACCACCTACTACCTCTCCTTCCTCCGCATTTCCATTAACGCATCTCTGTTGAAGAAATTATTTCACTTGGCTAAACCGAAGAGAGCAACTTATGCTATAAAAGTTCACAGTTGTATCAGAAAAACAACTAAAAGGTGTCATTTCCATGGAGGAATGTTAACCGCGTTTAATAGAATTTTACCTGCTTCTACAAGATGAGATAATGTCGGAAAACGTTTCTTAACTCGTTTACTTCCCACGCGGTAGAGGAGGATGCCAGCCAGGTTAATGTATCGGACCATTGTACGTCGCAGGATACGGCCTTCCTCGTCAGAGCCCTAGAGACAAATTCAAAATTATTTATGGTTAAGGAGCATTGGGGGATCTAATGGGATGGGGGTGGCAAACTGACTCACCCTTCCCCCGCCCGTCGGATATTGACTTTTTTTTTCATTTCAAATACCACCCCACACATTTACTACATCGTTTTGTATTTTTGAATTGAAGTTGATGATGGTGATGATGAGGAGGATGATTATGTTCGTGAAGATGATGTTGATACGAGATGGTACAGGCCTAATGATTAGAATGACGGTAATGATGATGATAGGGACAAGGAACAAATTGTATATATATATATATATATATATATATATATATATATATATATATATATATATATATATAT